GAGAGAGAGAGAGAGAGAGAGAGAGAGAGAGAGAGAGAGAGAGAGAGGTAAGACAAGAGGAGAGGAATAAGTTAAATGGTTGACAATAGGAAAGGAAGATGTGATTTGCAAAGGACACAATCCTATATTCCAGTGTAATTCTAAAATTAAATACCAACCCTGAAATCATTCAACCAACAAATGGGCTAATGAACTTAATAGACATTTCTCAAAATGGGAAACACGGAAGAAGTCCATAAGGAAATGCAGCACTTAAATATTTCCTGAAAAACTCTGTAGTCTGCCCCAACTGCTCATTTATACTTCTGCAGTGCAAGCGACCGTACCCCACATCAACGAGCCCTCGTTCTTGATCTTCATTTTTGCACTTGAGCTGCAGTTTTGCTTTTTCTGTTTCTCTTGGCTTCTTCATCACTTCGCTCCCTTGGTTTATCTTGTTCTTACTTTTTTCGATAAGCAATTCTGAGTGGCTTTGGTTACATTCTACTAACATTTTATATGAACGAACTGCATCCTGGATTTCCAGTGGTTTTCCAGAATCTGCATCAGGAAAGAGTGCGTAGAAATTAAACACATGGGCACATTCTGTATACACAGGCTTGTACCTTCTCATATTCTGTCATTCGTGGTAAATGACTGCAGATTGAGTGCCTATAGTCTGGAGTGCATTATACTAAGATTTTTCTGCTTTGAATTAACTGCTTTTATTTAGGTTAAATCTGATAGAGAAGACAAAATAAGATGACCATTGTGAATTTAGATATATACCAAAATAGAGTCCTAGGGTTCCACAGAATATCTTTTTCTACTGCACACAGAAAGATTTTCCATAGGAAGAAACTGCCCTACTGGGAATCAAAAGGATGAATAATAAACATCTGATCAGAAGGTGAAGAGCATCCTAGCCAGTCTAGACAGCGGGCTGGGGCTTTGCTGAAATTCCTATCTAGGCAAGGAGGAGAAATAGACTCTGACCTGTGATACTCTTACATACAAACATAAAAAACTACAAAGAATGTAAGAGCTGAGAAATAAGGGCTAGGGCTGAGACATGACATGCCCACTGCAGTCAGTAACTCATAGCAGCTATGGTTACCTGAAGAGACTTGCACAAGACTGAACTAGGATTCTATCAGGGATGAAGAAGAGTTGTATGTGCCCATTGTTTTCTGAGGAGCTCCTGGAAGTTAATGGTCACTGGATGAAGGGAGGGACTTTTTTTTTTCCTGCAAGGGTATAGCCACTAGAACAGTGCCCTGTACTCCAGTAAACAACCCACATCCATGCTTATTACTCAAGCAAACCTAATTAAAATGTAGTAGGTCTTATAAAAAGGAACATAGAAAGGAAACTTGCTGGGGAGAAGGAATCCAGAGAAAGTGGGAATGTCAGAAAGGAGGACAGAAGAAGGTGTACAAAATCAAAATATGTTACACACATGCAAAAAGTAGTCAAAGAAGAAAGAAAAATATTGAAAAAGTGAAAACTAATGCATACCAAATAAATGATGAGATGGTATGCTTCAGGCATGGATAATACTTATCTTTGATAGGTAAATAATTCTTCTCTGCTAATGTCTAGATTCCCTAGCAGGAGAGGTTATTCAGGCCAATGGGTAAGAAAAAAACTGGCGCAGGTCAAACGTTTGTAGAAGAGTGAAACTTGACCTTCATCTCTCACCCTGCACAACATTCAACTCCAAATGGATCAAGTGCGGGACCTCAGCACAAGATCCAGCACTCTGAATCAGATACAGGTGAAAGTAGGGACTGTGCTTGAGCTTATTGGCATAGAAAGGAATTTCTGAACAGGAGCCTGATAGCTCAGGAGTCAAAACCAAAAATTAATAAAACTAAAGTTTCTATACAGCAAAGAACACTATCACTTCAGCAAAGAGGGTGCTTACAGAATGAAAAAAAATTATTAACCAGGTACATACACACACACACACACACAAACATATATATATATGTATACACACACATATATATATGTATATATATATACGTATGTATATGTATATGTATGTGTATATATATGTATGTATGTATGTATGTATGTATGTATGTATATCACATATGATTAGTACCTAGAATATACAAAGAACTAAAAAAAAAAATTCAAGAAAACAACCCAAGTGAAAAACGAGACATGGGGCTAGGGAGATAGGTCAGTGGTTATGATATGTGCTGCTCTTTCAAGGGTCTCAGGTTTGAGTCCTAGCACCCATAAAGCAGCTAACAACCATGTAGAACTCCAGTCCGGGCCACCCAGTACCTTTTTTGGCCATGCATGATTATGGGACACAGCTACATAGGCAGGAAGGACACTGATACACATAAAAGTTTAACAGAAATGAGTTCTCAGAAGATGAAATACAGACCAGTAAATATTTAAAAATGTTTAACATAATTAACCATCAGGGAAGTATATGTTAAGACTACCTTGAGATTTCATCATACTTCACTTAGAATGGCAATAATAATAATAACAAAAACAACAAATGCTGGCATGGATGTGGGAGGAGAGAACACTTATTTACTCCTGAGATGAATGCAAACTGGTGTAGCCTCTATGCAAATCAGTGTGGAAGTTCCTAAAAAAATCCCACATGATTCAGCTGTACCATATATCATATTGTATATCATATACCATATATCATAATACCATATCCTATTATAGAGTATCAACAATGTTCACTGATGTTTTATCCCAAATTAATGGATAATCAAAATGAGTTAAATGGAATATTATTCAACTATTAAGAAAAACAAAATCATGCAATTTATAGGACAACGGAAGGAGTTGGAAACAATTGCTCTTGAGTGAAGTAACCCAGGCTTACAAATACCACTTGTTTTCTCGCACTCAAGAATATGGCTTCACATCTTCAAATATGTGTGTTTCATTTGGAATGCCTAAAGAAGTCAGGAAATTATGGAAGAGCATAGTAGGTAGAGAGGCCTTCAAGGAGGGCAGAAAGAAAGTGGAGGCATCAAGGTTTAAAGAGGATTAGTGAAACAGGAATGGTTAAATTGGGATGGGGAGGGGTAGGCTAGGGTAGCTAATAAAAACACTAGACATTATTAAAACTTCCTATGAAAATACTACTGTAGGCGCTTACACACACACACACACACACACGATAGAGAAGAGAGAGAGAGAGAGAGAGAGAGAGACAGATAGAGAGACAGAGAGAGAGAGAGGGAAGGAGAGGAGATAGAGAGGAGAGAGTGAGTATGTGCGTTAAATGGAGTTCCCCTTTAACAGAACAACTGTGCCCCTACTAGATACACTGCAGGTTAATAAATATAAAGCTCCGTGCTAGAAATTGAGTAACTTTTTTGGAATTGTTGGCCAGTGAAGACCCATATACCACAAAACATTACAAGTTATTGCCAATGCTGTGATTGTCCTGCAGTATTTGACAGTAAAATCCTTTGCTGAAAACACCATGAAGTTGAATCATAGAATGTGAAGAAATTAAGCTATTACTGGCTGGAAGATTAATCCCTACTGGCTAGCCTTCATAGTGCTGGAAGGTATTATGCTTGTTTCCATAGGAAAAAAAGTAATCTTATACATCTGTGAATCTTGAGAGCTAAAGATAACACCTGACCTAGTAAGATATGACCAGTGGTGCAGTAGCTACATGAATACCATAGGAGCAACTAATCACTCTCCAATTGGATTAAAGCCTTACTCCACAAGATGAAACCCACATCTGGTACCATTTCTGGACTAAGAACCTAGAGCTAGAAATTCAGAGTCCTTAGGGGCGAGCCTCTTATCATTCTGCTAATTGAACATAGGATTAAATCTATTCATAAAGGAGGGTGACCCCATAGGAAGACCAGTAATCTCAACTAACCCGGACACCTGAGATCTCTCAGACACTGAGCTGCCAACCAGGCAGCATACACCAGCTGGTACGAGTCCCCCAATTCATATACAGCAGAAGACTGTCTGGTCTGGCCTCAGTGAGAGAAGAGTTGCCTAGCCCTTGAGAGACTTGAGGCCCCAGGACATGGGGAGGCCTGGTGGAGTGGTAGGGTGGGACTGGGGACATCCTCTTGGAGACAGGGGAGGAGCAATGGGATAGGGAACTGTCAGAGGGCAGACCTGAAGGGGGTTGTGAAAAAAATAAAAAAAAGAACTTATCATTATACCTATAGATTCATGTATTTCTCAATTCTCTCTGTTTTGGACAGAATTATAATAAGGGTGAGCAAAAGCGAGTGCAGAAATAGGTTGAAAATGTGTTAACTGATTTAAAGTTGCATATATTGTGGCTGTAGACAAATCAGCTACAGACAAAATGTAGCAATTTTTTAAAGAAACATTTTGTTGTTTTTGTTTGTTTTGTTGTTTGTTTTGTTCTTTTGAGACAGAATTTCTCTGTGTATCCCTGGCTGTTCTGGTGCTCGCTCTGTAAACCAGGCTGGCCTCAAACTCAAGAGATTCGCTTGTCTCTGCCTCCCGAGTGCTGGGATTAAAAGCTTGTGCCCAGCATTGCTCAGCAAAATGTGGCAATTGTTAATAAGCAATCAATTTTCTCATCGTAAAGATAGAAATTGAAGAGGACATCAGAAAAAGAAGAGAATGGTCATACTCACAACATATTGGGATTTATATTACAAAGCTGATATATGTCTGAAAATGATAATAAAGTAGTACAATCTTTTCCAAAACCCCAATGAAAATTTTAACAGGATGAGAAAAAAAAAGTTAGAATTCAGAATACAAATAGCCACGGTAATCACATGGAGCCCTGCGAAGGCTGACTTAGAATAAAGCTACAGAGCTGTGGTAACCAGGACAGTCAGGCACCAGCACAGCAGGACACACTAGCAAGAATAGAAAAAGTGGTCCCAAGTGGACCCCACCTCCTATAGACTTGTTACTTCTAACAGTTTCCAAAACTGTGAATTAGTGAGAAGCCAACCTCTTCACAAATGTGCAGGGAAAATAGTATGTTAACCTGCATCCCTATGTCTCACACTGCACCAAAGATATAACTAGTAAAAGTCCTTGTGGATAGGCCAGATTCTGACTTTGAGAATTACCTCGACACTGTACTAAAGGCTTTACATTTATGCAGTGGCCTTACCTTTATACTTCATTTGAAGTTGATTAACTATCATCAATATATTGTCATAATCAGGCAAATCATAATCCTCAGAGAATGATTCGGATAACTGGTCATCCATAGCACCCACATACTTCAGAACCTGTAATATAAAAATATATAATATTGGAATGTCCTCAATACTTATACTACATGGTAAATGTACCAACATCTCACCTATCCATCTTTTTATGATTACGATTTCTTTTAGATACGAAAGGATCTGATTTTTCAAGGATTATCAATGGTAGTCTTTGCCACTATTTGAAATTTTCAATATAAATTTCACCAGATAATGGAAAAATGTAGACCATTTCACTTTAGTTTCTATCATGTATTTATTTCACCCATATTTCATAATATATCATTTCATTTGTAAATTATTTTGAATGAGATATAATTTTAAATTTACTTTATAATACCTTATTCTTTTCACCAGATGTTTTCTTCTTCAGCCTAGAAAGAAGATAAAAGTTTCTGCTCAACATTTAAATATGAAAAGAACAGATAATACTGAAAACCATTATATCTATAGAAAACACACGCATTTGATATTTCTCCTACTCAAAAATTCATAAACTATTTCAAATGTGATAAACTACAAGTGAGATTCAGTAAAATAGAAAGTAACATAAAAAAAACACATTTATTACTAAAACTACAGATAATTAAATTCTGAGCAAACTTTCTGAGAGCAAATGGAACAGGAAAATATGATATTACTAGTTTTGTTTTATGAAAAGAAATATGTTGTCTTTCATATTGTCATTTTCTATAAAAATAAATCTTTATGAATGTTAACTCTAATTGAAAAATAATGTGTAAGTCCCCAAAGAAGGGAAATTGTCTTTCAGTGAAGATAGGAGTTAGCTTGGTTGGGACCTTCACTGCAATCTAAATTCAGTTTAATTCTCGTAATGACTATATGAGGGAAACGACAGTATTTTATAAATGACTAAGGAATAGGTTAAGAAAGACCAAAGCACTTGACCGAGTGCATATAGAATGTCAGTGGCAGACTCAATTCAAAACCAAGAATGGTGGCTACAGGTTTCTTATTACTTTGTGAACATTGTATCTGTCCTCAAATATTTTAGTTCAAATGATGGTATGTAGATTTAAATTATTATTATATTTCTGGTTATAAGTATTTTTTCCTAATTACAAGTATTTTTTTAAAAAAAATGTGAAAACTAGGTATAGAGACAATTTTGGAAATTGACATTCAATAAAACAAATGGTTTGTTTGTCTAAAGACATTTCTCAACTGGTGAATTTATTCAACTATTTACACCTGCATTTCTTATGGAATGTATGATGCATGACAACAAAACAGTTAATAAAAGGAAATAGAGTTAAATAAGTAAATAAAACAAAAAATAAAGTAAATAAAGTAAAAAAGTAAGTAAAGTTAAATAAAATAAAAATAAAGTAAAAAAGTAAATAAAAGTAAAAAAAGTTTAAAAAAGTAAAAAAACGTTTTAAAAAGTAAATACTTTAGAATTTCATAATCCAAATGTAGACTACACAGCATTTTAAACAACTCTGCTATAAATCCTTAAAGGTAGCATATAAAATCTTCTAATCTTTGGACATGAAGATCCAATTAAGCGCAGCAAAAATACTGTCTCAACTGGGTGATTTGTCGCAGCGTGGAAACATAGTCTAAAAATTCTCATTAAACAACATTAGAGGTGAAAAAGGAACTGTAGAGGCTCTGGAGATGGCCCATCAGTTAAGAATAGATAATGTTCTTTCAGAGGACCAGACTTTGGTTCCCAGCACCCATATCAGGGGGCTCACAACTATCTGCAACTACCTCTCTACAAGGTCTGACCTCAAGTGTCTGCACTCATAACACACACCCCTAACAGATACGCACACTTAATTAGACTAATAAAACCTATTAAAAAATAGCTCAGTGGTTTAAAGTACATGCTGCTCTTGCACAGGACCTGAGCAAGCTTACAACTGCTTGTAACTCCAGCTCTAGGTGATCTGATGCTGATGTCCCTCTGACAACATTTACACACATACACACACACACACACACAGACACACACACACTAATTAAAAGTTAAGAAAATTTTGTTTTAAAGACACTTCATTAAGTTTCAGCTTTTGTAGTTTTTCTTGATTTTCTTTATTACTATTCCCTTTAACAGTAAAAATTCTCTAACTTGGGGACACCAGTTTGTACAATCAGAGTTCCACAGTATGTTAGCTTTCCCACTGTTATAAAATTCTTACAGAAAGAAACTTTAGAAAGGAAAGGTTTATTTTGGTCATTGTTAAGCCTGTGGTTTATCACAGAAGGAAAAATATAATGCAGGAATATGATGTGTGCAGCTGGTCACATGACATCCATATTTGGTATTTTTCTTACAGTATTTTTCCTTAAAAATCTTTTCATTATTTGTAACTATGCTATATCTGTGGTTCTGTGTACATGCCGGCGGATCCCAATGACATTATTCATTGATTCATTCATAAAAATGCAGTGTACTTGGAGATTATTACAGACTGTTTCTATTTTTATTTGCCTTTAAGTTAAAATGCAGGAAATACTAGCCCACCACAAGGAAAGATAAATTAGCACCAAGTTCAAAACACAAATGATAATGATATCATAAATCAAAGTGACATTCGAGTAAAAATATGTAAGCTCTGTCTGAGCACAAGGAAGTCTACACGCATAGGAAAGAAGAGCTGTCAAAACTCAAATCGAAACAAACAGAGCACACATAAACAAAATCCCGAGAAAGTGATTCTGTTCAGGGAAGAAAGTGGAAGCAGAAATACATGTCACCTACATGTTTCCTATGAACTTGCAGTTGAAAGTGCAGGACACTCTGAAACAAGAGGAAATTAGTACTACACTAGGCTTGAACGCTGCACAAGAATGCCAGGGTCCACTGCTTATGGAAAATGGCATCAAGAAAACAGGATTAATAATTCAATATGTGCTACATTTTTGGTTGTTTTGGCATATAGTAATACTGGATTTAAATGAAGTAATTAAAGTCACAGAAAACATGTACCATGGAAGAAAAAGGGAGAGAAATATCTTAAGAGTGCAGTCTTACTTTTATGACTATTTATTGTTATGTACAGTTGAAGATATCCATACTGTTCTTAGTTATCTATTCACCCTCACTTTCATAGTGATCCCTGACTTTGGGAAGATGTGGCACAATTTTATACACACACACACACACACACACACACACATATACATACATATATATACACATACATACATACATACATACATACATACATACATACATACATACA